CATAAGCGCAATATTTTTCCAGACCCACATGCACCGGACACGAGTAAAAAATTAAAATATGGCCCGTGCCAGCGCAGCTTCAATTTTATACAGTTATTGGAATAATTATGTGTTTCCGATTTTTTTGATATTCACGAATTTTTTTACTTTTGTTTCGAGCAGAAGCTTCAAAGCTTTGCAACTCATTTTCAAATTCAAATAATTTTTCTTCGGAACTCAGACTATATTTTGGTTGACTTTTGAATAAAACACTATTTTAATTTAATTTTTTAATTTTTTTGACGCCCGGGGTGATTTATGTACAGTAACACCGCAACTTTCGGTCAAAGTCATCGCCGAGTTCGAATTTCGACCTAGTGCGTGAGGGGGTTACCGAGGACGATATTTGAGCGAAAACATCTCGACTTTCCGAAGAAAGTCATCGTCGAGTCCGTATTCCGATCTAGTGCGTCGAGCGGGCCGCCCGGAATAATATAGTCTAATAATACGGTAACATCGCAACTTCGCGGATAAAGTCATTGCCGAGTTCGGATCCCGAATTAGTGCGTCGAGCTCGCTACCCGGGACGATACTTGTGCAAAAACATCGCGACTTCCCGGAGACTGTCATCGCCGAGCCCGGATTTTGACCTAGTGCGCCGAGCGGGTTACGCGAAATGATATTTCCGCGGCAAAATCGCAGCTTCCTAGAGAAAGTTGTCGTCGATTCCGGACGGATATCAACCTGATGCTCCGAGCGGTCATTCTAAAGAATATTTTCGCGTAAAACCTGTAATTGCGTGGAGAAAGTCATTTTCGAGTTTCGAGTTCGACCTGGTGCCCCGACCGGGTTACCCAGGATAATTGCGAGAATCTTGATGTCGAGAGAAAAATCTACATGTATCGTTTAAAACTCATACATATCAAATCGATGCGCAGCATCTATACATAGATACATTTAGCCTTATTAATCGATTAAATCGATGATATGAAGTTGGCCGGAAGACCACGTGAGACCGCGTTTTGCGTGAGACCGTTTTTTCGTCGGGGATTTTTTCTTTTATCATTCGCATTTTAGTTAATACTGCGTATTTCGGAGAGTATGAATGCACTATTTTTGGTCACTTTTTACAAGGAATCGATTTACCGAATCAGAATTACCGTATGTTTTATAGATTTCAAATAATAACGTTAGGTTGTTTTCGCGGGTCCCGAAATCGCGATTCTCGCGTATATGAGGAGCGTCGAGTGACGCTGCTCTCGTCTGCCATACTTGCCATTCGGAGCGCGACACGCGCTCCTCGATATACCTCTTATCGAAAAGGAAAGGACCGTTACGGAGATTCCTCAGATCCCGACTCGCGCGAGCGCAACCTTTATACGCTTAAATGCTAATTTTTCGCCTGGAAATGTATATAGGTATATATATAATAGTTGGTTTCAAAAGAGCGAGACTCGCGGAGTCGAGTCACACACACATTTTTTTTGTTGTCGTACTCTCGAGTTTACTCTTTCTCGTTCGGTATTGCACACGCGCGTATTCCTTACTTTTATACATACATATATATAACATTAAACGGCGTATGAATTTAATTAGCGCAACGACGTGCGCGGCAGGTGAATATACGTATATAATACGCTCCGCGAAAGGAGAGCAGCAGCGGCAGATTTCAGGAAAACTCGTGTGCGTATATACGCGCCTGTATGCACCGGAGAAAAAGAAGCCCCTCGATCGCTCTCTCGTATATATAAAATACATATGACGCGTAGTGCGGAGACATGTGTGCGCGCGCGCGCGACTGACCTTTTTGCGATCACGAGCGATCTCTCGTGTGGCGCGTGCGAGAACCGATTTTTTTTTCCTCCGTGGATGCTCTTTCTCCTCGCTGCCGCGCGCGCGACATTGTTTCATATATATAGCGCATATATATAAGTGTGTGTGTGTGCGTAGGGCCTCGTGCGCGCTTGATGTATAATCGGGGGCAGGCGGCCCTTATATACCATCATATGTGTGTAAGCTGCGGCGACTGGTGCAGAGCAGCTGAAGAGTAGTAGGGATGCTCATAAGTGCACACGAGTCTCTGCTGGCCCCCCCTTCTTCCTCTTCTCTTCCCCGGTATCTTTTACTCTTTTCACCTCCTCCACTCGCGCCTGCCTCAAGTGTGTGTGTGTGTGTGTGAGTCTCTGTATCCGTAGATATGCACCTCTTTTTTGCTCTCTCTCACTCGCTCACTCACTCACTCAAGTCTTGCGCCAGGCGGCTAACGTTCTCGCAGCGCGAACCTCATGCTCATTCGCGAGTTTCTAGCCGTGCCGATCGCGCTTCGTTTATATACATATCCGTAACGTAATCGTACGCGAAGCGGTGGTGCGCTACGTCAGCTGTGTGCGCGCGTGTGTATATCGATTTATTTATCTAATTGTATAATTACTCGTGGTACGAGAAAAGAAAAAGTAGGTGAAGTCAATTTTTTGGTTGTTTTACGCGCGACGTTCGAGTGAAGATCGGTACGTGTGTACCGCGAGTGATTATATTCTCGAGGCGCACGAGATCGGTATCGTACGCGTTCGTCAACCGATTTTCTGGTTTATAAAAATAATAGCAGCTATTATCAACCGCGAAAAAAAAGTTCGTTTCGTTCGAGATTGAAATTCGCGCCGAAGAAAAAGTTCAGCGAGAAAGAAAACGAGCGATCGGTATACGAGTGCATCTCTACAAGTGATACCATAAAAATCGAGTGCTTTTGCTCAAAATTTTATAACGTGAATCAACGAGTTGTGCATGTGAGCGCGTGTGTTTGTGTATATGTGTTTGTGACTGCACGTGCGAAGATTCGTTAAACCAGCTCGCCCCTATTATAGAGATCGGCGCGCGAGCCGATATATATGAAAAGGCGCCGCCCGGCTGCGAAGCAGAGAACACACGGCTCACCGTCGCTCGGTCGTCTCCGACGCAGCCAGAAGGAAGGCATATAAACGACACCCTTGAGAGAAGGCAGAGAGAAGCTCGCGGCGTCGATCTCTATACGTCTGTTCTGTTTTTTTTGTGTGTTTGTCTCGTTTGTTTTGGCGCGTTTTGTTTCTTCTTCGTGTCGCCGCGCGTCGGCGGCAGCGGTTAGTATATAGTCAGCTACCAGAAATTCGTATATAAACGGATAAGACGAGAGCAAAAGGAAAAAGAAGGCCAATGTCAGCGGTATCCGCGATAGTCGCGCTCGTGTGTCTGCTGTAGACGAACAAAAAGGGTGAGTCGATCATTCATCGATACTGTTAATTTTAAGGAAAATCTTCGTATCGAATAAAAGATAAAACGAACCGAAATACAGTAAAAGAAATAATTTTCGCACCCTCGAGTATACATTTATACACGCACGACCTCTCTCGTGTACGAGTAAATATTCATTAGACGAAAAAAAAAAAAGAAGGGAGAACATTTACATATCGCCATCGACATGCGGCCGCGCAAGTCTCGCGTTGTCATATCGTTTCGTCCGTGTCTGTCTCCCGTACGTGTTTGTGTATGTATCTATGTGTGTGTGTATGTTTTTCCTTCTTTCCTTTTTTTTTTCGTTCGTTCGTTCGTTCGTTCTGTCGTTGTTGCCCGTTGTTTATATACACGAGACAGAGAGACGTATGGAGTCGCGAGGGGGACGTATACGGGATGAGAGACAGAGAGAGAAAGAGAGAATATTTATACGCGCTGCAGCGAACGTGTGCACTTGTTACGCGATCGAGCGACGACGATTTGCGAGCCTATACGCGGGGTATAGGTACTACTACTACTATACTACTACTGTGGATTCGGACGCTGTGCTGCTGTTGTTGCTGCCGCTGTGCTCGTCCACATGTATTATACACGCGCAGCAGAAAATCAAGAGCATCGAGCTGAGAGCGGAATTTTAAGTGCTCGTGTGTGTGTGTGCAGTGCGTTGCTTTTACATACATCGACGTTTGCGAACGAGAGAATTAAACGCGACTTATTGACGCATTGAAGATTTCAGAGTTTACATGTATACGTATCGCACGGGCCCTCGAATTTTTTTAATAAGTCGTGTATACACGAGCGTTAAGGGCAAATAATGTAGATCCGACGCGTTAATGCGTCGAGTAAACTTTAACGAAAATTTCGAGACGAGAAACACAGACAGAGAGAGACTCAACAAGGTTAACGATCATACATATAAATGTACGAATTTCTTTTTATTTGCTTCGCCGTCGCGACTCCTCGATGATAATCTTATCGATCCTTATTATCGAGAATTTGCGTGTTGTACCGTTTTCTTTTCTGCCGCTCGTTACGCGTTTATTACAGCGAGTTGGGTGTCCTATTATTGTGCAACCTGCGTGATGTATTTTACACCTTGTAGTCCGAAAGTTAGAGGGTTTTCGTCAAAATTACGGACTCCATTCGGATTCTACAAAGCGTATTTCGATGTTTCGAACATTTCATTAACAATTTTTTGTACATTAAATTTTTATTTTAAATCATAATAAAAATATAAGTCATATTCCGAAAAGTAAGGCGTATGCGTTAAAAAAAAAGTATAAGGCATGACATATTTTGTTTTGAACCTGGTGATTATCAGATATTATTGTTGTTGAATGATTGTTATTAATTATTAATTATAATTATATTAAAATTATTTATTTTATAATTATTTAATATTTGACCACGAATATATTCTTGAAAAAAAGCAATACGTTTGAAATTTTTTCATTTAACGTTGGTTTATTAAAAAATTAATGAGTGAGTTGATAATTATCAATAATCGTTTTTTCCTTACATTATTTAAACATTTACAATTGGCTATAGTATAACTTTTTTTTACATTTACGTTCGATAACGTATCTATAAGGTGGCGTAAAAATGAGTGTACATTTTAAGATCTGATATTACAAACGATCGTGTGCTTATCAATAAAAAATGATCGAAATGAATCTCGTTAAAATTTTCAAGAACAATTTTGCCGGCCATTCATTGCGTATCTCTTTGTTTAAATAATGCGTAGACGAGTGAATACCTCAGACGACGGTGTAGGTAACCGTCTGGGCCGAACTGCCCGCGACGTCGACATGTACCGTTTGAGGTTGATCAAAGGTGAGACTACTCAGTATATCCAGCAGGTCACGGTACACGTCGAGATTTCGACTCATCATGAGCAGGGGAGTGTCTCCCTCGTTGTTGGCCAGAAGCGAGTCGGCGCCACTCCTCAGCAGCATCTCGGCCATGGCTTTGTCGTCGCGTCGTAGAGCCAAGTGCAGGGGGGTATCGCCGCGCTTGTCCCGGGCGTTGACCTCCATCAGCTGGAGTCTCTCGTTGACGACTCGGAAAAACGCCTCGATCAGCTCTCCGTCGCACTTTTGCCTGCAGAGGATGTGTAGGCAATTGCCACCGTCGGCGCAGGCCAAATTCGGCTCGGCGCCCCGCCTCAGCAGCAGATCGACGACCCTCTTGAGTCCCCGTTCCAGGGCGTAGTGCAGAGGTGTGTTGCCTTTATTGTCCCGGACGTCGACCTTCACCGACAGATACATCTCGTCCGCGACGCCGAAGAACAGCTCCGCCAGGTGGCCGTGGCGGTCCCGCCTCGAGACGACGTGCAGCGGAGACATCCCGGCGTTGTTGACGAAGTTCGGATTGGAGCCGCGCCTCAACAGCAGCTCGACCATCTTGGGGTTGCCCCAGTGCAGGGCCAGGTGCAGCGGTGTGTTGCCGAATTTGTCCCAAGCGTCGACTCGCACGTCGAGGTCGCCTAATTGAAGTAACGTCTGCGCCAAGCCCGTGTCGCATTTCTGATTCTGACTGAGCACGTGCAAGGCCGTCAATCCGTCTCTGCTTGTCGCGGTCGGGTCGGCGCGGCCTCGACTCAGGAGCAATTCGGCCGTCTTCCAGTGGCCGTGGTGCAGAGCCAAGTGCAACGGTGGGTCTACCCTTTTTAAAGCTCGAAAATCCGGACTCTGTCCGGCCTCGATGAATCGCTCGACCACGTCGTGGAAGCCATATCGGCAGGCCACGTGGAAGTGGCTCAAGCCCGTCTCGTCGACGTAATTCGCCTCGAATCTGTCGTACACTCGAAAGAGGGTCCGGATCTTGGGGCTCTCCAGGGGTAGATCGCGCCTGGCCACGAAATGCACAGCTGTGGTACGCCGCAGTATCGGCTTACCCTCTTGGTCGACTTCCGGCTTGTCTTTGTAGTTCATGAGGGTCATTATCTCGATCAACGACGTGAATTGACAGTCCCTCGACTCATTTTTCTCGGAATTGATGTTGGCCCGGAAAAATTCCTCGAGTTCTGGCAGCGTCAAGTCCAGCTTTTTGTCGATGACGTTGTTGTTGTTCAACTGGTCCATGACGGCTTTGTTCTACTTTGGCGCGCGAATACTTTTAATTACTTATTAATCACTTGCCGGTGCCGACTGTTATAGTCGAGATCTTTTTTGTGCTGCTTATACGGCGTCGTAACTCGTACTGATCTGGAACCACGAAACACCAGTAGCACACGTGTTACGGAGCAGAGCACAAAGTGAAAGTTCCGTACGTGTGATGGAGCGGTTAGGCACACCGAGAATAAGATACATTGTCTCCGAGTGTAGAAAGAAATATTATAAGTGGAAAATTGTAATAACAAAAGACAAAAGATCTGTTAGAACTAGAAAAATGTCAAAAAGATGATCGCGATCGGTATATTCTCAATGTACGATTTTACTTAATATCATTTTTGTTTAGTGACAATTATGATTGTATGATTTTCTTGATGTCTAATTGTTATAAAATGTAACGCACTCTCGATATCACTAAAATAAATATGCATTGAAGAAATAACAGACTTAGAGTCTTATTTAGTTTCCTTTCTTTTCAGAAATCATAATAGTAATTTACGATACAAGTGCTATAAGTAACCCATGGAACTTGTATCACACACGACTACGGGGAGTAAGTTCACATTTATGACCCCTATTCCGATGCATAATTCGCACTCTCTGGAGCGTATGCGAGCAAATCAAGAAGGTCTTATATAAAACGCTCATCAGTAGCGTATGCGAGCAGCGAGACTAGTGGCGATGGCCGTCGAAGACGACAGTGCCGTAAAAAACGACTTATGCCACCGGAAAGCGTGTCATGAATGAGAACTCGAAGCCCCACAGTTCTATAATAGTACACTTTCAAGAGTACTGCAGAAAAATTGCATAAAGATCGTTTACTTTATTTACGATAATATAATGAGGATTCTCTGTGTCTGTTTTGCTATTTAAACTTTTTGACAATATGAAATTCATACCTTCAATCGATAGCCATCGAAATAATTGAATTCAACTTTTATTGATGCCTAAAAACATACGCGGTCACAAAAAGGAAAAACCATGCTTTGATTTATACACTTATTTTTACTTTGCCACTTGCAGATTCACTTATAAATGTTCTCGCCATCTAGCGGTGAATGCATAGTTAACCGAACTTAAAAACTCGTTCTCAGAAATCAGTCTTGCAACGTCTCAATCGTTGTCAACGACGGCGGAGAAGCCATGAAACCAATTCGGTTTCAACCAAACGTATGTGTTAAATTCTATGCTCCGACTTATACAATTATTTTCATTTTACTGCTTGCAGATTTAATCGAATCCGAATTCATTCAATGAAACTTGTCTGTGTCAGATATACAATTACTTTTATTTTACCGCTTGCAAAGTAACATATAAAAGATCTCGCCATCTAGTGGTAGATACTCTCATAGTATTTAAAGCGATTGAAAACTTATCTAAATTTTAGCAATTAAATCTTCATTTTAAGATCATTTGCAATTATCGTCATATTTTTAACATGATTCTAAAAGCAAAATTCCATAAAGCCAATTAGCGTGTACATGATCAATAAATTTAAATTGTCGTGTGAAATATCTACTATAAATACTAGGCGTGTCATATTTCGTATGAACTCGTTTTTATTTTCACACCGTGATAAGTAAATATTATTGAATCAAGTTCAAGTTACCTTGCCTTGTACAGTTTGTATTGAAACAGTGAGTCGTAAATGAAATTTCCTACGAGTAAGATGGAATCGAACAATGTCTTCGATCCAACCGTTAGGTAATTTTTATTTTTTTTTAGTATTAAAAGTACAACAATTTTATTGCATAATTCTCTATTTTAACGGTGTTATTTTAGAATTAAAGAGGAAATAACGGATGAGTCGCTCATGGAGTATGATGATTACAACATAACGAACGAGACATCCGAAAGCAAAAATTTCCAATACTCGAGTGTTCCGCGGGAAAATTCTGTGAGTGTTGATAAACTTACATGGTAAATTTTTATTTTACAAAAATTTTAGTGTGACTTCCATTTATTGCAGATCAATGAGATTCAAAAGTTTGAACAAAACCATGATTGCGAACTTGACGACGACCTGCACGAAGAATTTGAATGTCAGGACGTGAAGATAGACGTAAATTCATCAGTGATCAGGAAAATTGACGATAATTCTCAACAATACTCGCCAGACACGATTAAAATAGAAACTGCAGGAGTCGTGAAAGAAGAATTAGTTAATGACGATTCGGAAGATTTCAATGCAAGTGTCGAGGGCGAGCTCGGACAGAGACATAAAAATACCAAAGAGTTCAATCATGGAAAGCGCGAAAAGACATTTATGCGAAAGAGACCTCTCGAAGTCCACACAAATAGTGTTCATGATGATATCACTCACCCATGTCATATTTGTGGAAAGACTTTCAAGCGAAAGATACATCTCAAAGTCCACGTCAATTCAGTACATAATAAATTGAAACCTTACAAATGTGATAAATGTCAAGTGTCATTCGCCTACAAAAATGTTCTCAAAAATCACATTACTGCTGTGCACAGTAAAATAACTTATCCATGTCATGTTTGTGGAAAGTCATTCGGACAAAAAAGTTATCTCAAAATGCACATGAATAGAGCCCACAATAATTTTAAGCGTTACCAGTGTGACGATTGTCAAAAGTTATTCACTACAAAAGCACATCTAAAAATTCACGTCGATTCGGTGCACAGTGGAATCACCCATGGATGTGATACTTGTGGAAAATCATTCGGACTAAAGAGTCATTTAAAGGTCCACATCGAGTCGGTGCATCGTAAAATAAGGCAGACGTGCGATAAATGCCAAAAGACATTCTCAAACAAGAGTAATCTCAAAAAGCACATCGATTCGGTGCATAATGGTGTTTCACATGCATGCGACATATGCCAAAAGACATTCTCAAACAAGAGTAATCTCAAAAAGCACATCGATTCGGTGCATAATGGTGTTTCACATGCATGCGATATATGCCAAAAGACATTCGCTACGAAAGGTAATCTTAAAAACCACACCGAATCGGTGCATAATGGTATTTCACATGCATGTGAAATATGCGGAAATGTATTCAACCGAAGAGGTGATCTCAATAGGCATATCGATTCGTTGCACAATCGTGTTTCACATGGATGTGATGTTTGTGGAAAGACATTCACTCAAAAAGGTCATCTCCAAATCCATATCGATTCGGTGCATAATAAAATTACTCATACATGTGATATATGCCAAAAGAAATTCTCAGACAAGAGTTATCTCAAAAAACACATCGATTCGGTGCATTATAAAATTATGCATCCATGCGATGAATGCCCAGAGACATTCTCAACCAAGGGTAATCTCAGAAATCATATCGGTTCGGTGCATAATCGTGTTTCACATGGATGTGATGTTTGCGGAAAGACATTCTCTCAAAAAGGTCATCTCAAAATCCACATCGATGCGATGCATAATTGTGTCAGACATGCATGCGATATATGCGGTAATGTTTATAAACGAAGTGGCGATCTCAAAACTCACGTCCATGCGGTGCATCGTAAAATAAGGTATCGATGTGATGAATGTGGAAAATCATTCAGATGTAAGACTCATCTCCAAAGACACATCGATTCGTTACATCGTAAAATCACGCATTCATGCGATATATGCCAAAAGACATTCTCAGACAAGAGTTATCTCAAAAAACACACCGATACGGTGCATAATGGTGTCAGACATGCATGCGATGTTTGCCAAAAGACATTCTCAACCAAGGGTAATCTCAGAAATCATATCGGTTCGGTGCATAATGGTGTCAGACATGCATGCGATATATGCGGTAATGTTTATAAACGAAGTGGCGATCTCAAAACTCACGTCCAAGCGGTGCATCGTAAAATAAGGTATCGATGTGATGAATGTGGAAAATCATTCAGAGGTAAGACTCATCTCCAAAGACACATCGATTCGTTACATCGTAAAATCACGCATTCATGCGATATATGCCAAAAGACATTCTCAGACAAGAGTTATCTCAAAAAACACACCGATACGGTGCATAATGGTGTCAGACATGCATGCGATGTTTGCCAAAAGTTATTCGCAGACAAGAGTTATCTCAAAAGACATATCGATTCGGTGCATCGTAAAATCACGTTCACATGTGATATTTGCGGAAAGAAGTTGAGCAAGAAGAGTAGTCTAAAAAAGCACATAGATAGTAAGCACAATGATGACACCCGCTCACATACAACTCAATAAATGTATGAAATTTACTTTTTATAATATAAATTTACCTCTAATGACGTAATTTCTTCGTGAAAGAACAGATCCTATAATTTGTAATCAATAAACTTTTGACAAAAAAGAAAGGATGGTGTTATTTTTTTTTTTTCATTAATTTAGTAAAATCAATCTAACAAGCACCGTAATATGGTTAAATAATTAATTCTATCATCAAACTTGGTCGGTTCTCCCTTTCCACCACGATTACATAATGGATAATTACGCGAAGTAATCCCTTGAACTCGTCGCCCTATGGTTAACTCCTATACGTCGATACTTGATTAATTTTTTTTTATCAATTAGTCGAAACACCGACAACGCGTTTGCATACACCGACTCTCATGAACTTACATATATTCCGTATACATATTCTTCGGAATTCTCGAGTATCGGATCGAATTATAACGGGCCTCGTGTGTCGTACGTGTAAGTGCATTTGTAGCTCGTCCGCGTATATTCATAATACACGAAGAGTCACGCGAACGCGCGTAACTTCTCTCTCGCGATCGCGACAAATTGCGCGGAGAGCCTAGTCAGTTATGCCAAAAAGCAGAAAACGAAGCGATCCTTATCCTCGCGCTGCGCTCCAGTTGACTAAGAGATAATCCCGACTCCTGTTACGTATGGCACGCGGGTATGATATCTAGTACAAACTCGCCTCTCTCTCTCTCTTTTCGAATTATTAATTACCAACTTTTAGAACAACGCAGCGTTATAATGTATACACGTATCAGCCTTCAAGCTGCGATACACGCGATAGCCGAAGTTCGAAGTTCAATTCCTTCCTTCCTTCCTCCATTACATCGCGTCCTGCATCGTATATATATCTTATATATATACGTACGTAATGCGCTTCGATGATGCATCTTCATTATGTGTGCTGCTGCTGTTGATGCTCTCGCCCGCGCGAAGTTTGCCGAGGCATCGCTGCCGCGCGTCAAGTCAAGCTGCGAGCGAGCAAGTCAATAACCTTATGTACACACACGCACACGTACACATATATATTGGCCTCTTGGTTCGCGCTCGTTTTCGAGCCAAGAGAGAGAGAGAGAGAGAACTTCGCTGCACTCAGCAGCAGCAGCAGCAACTTCCCCTTGCCGCCTTAGAAGTTCTCTCTCGCGCTCGAAATCAATGTCGGCTTCGCTTAAAAAAACAATTACTCAAGTAATATCACACCTGTCGTTGAAAAGTCTCTCTCTCTCTTTCTCAGTGGCTCGGTATATAAAACTGGTTTCGTGCGGATCTGTGCCGCGCTCTTGTATATACATATAATATATATAAATATACATAACGTAGCACCACATAATCAGTTAATTATTATGATTATCATCGATTTGCGCGCGACTTGGCAAATTGAACGATCTCCGCAGTCCTCGTCGTCGCCCGTATCTCGTCTCTCCATCGTCGATCCTGTCAATTCATTATACCGATCGTCTTCGATATATTCCGCATATATTATAATACCCACATATATATACGCGCGTAACGAACGTAACGCGTTTGTTTACACGCGCTCCGTATACAGACACGAGCGATAATGTGTATGGTAATTGGATGCACGGGGAAATTATACATCGCACTGCTCTTAGTCCAAGCAAACGTTTACATTAATTAATTAATACAATTCATCCCACAAATATATGTATATATATATATATATCATTTTTCAAATCATCATTTGCTCAACTTGACGTAGGTCCTCGTCTGCTTGTTGTACTTCCAGACGTCGAGGCCCTCGTGGCGGTCGGCCTCGGCGCGATCGATCAGATCGCGATACACCGAGACGCGCGTGTAGATCGCGTGGCCGTCCGTGTCGTTGCAGTCGTCCGGGCCCTGCGACCAGACGCCCAGGATCTCGTTGTGCTTGTCGACCAGCGCCGCGCCGTGATCACCCTGTGCACATAATTGCGTTTAACGTAAATAGCCAATTAGAGCTAATTACATAGCTGTAAGGAGGGATTAGGGTCTGTTCTTTTTTTGAGAACATGGTGAAATAGATTTATATCTGTAAATTATATTTTTTATAGAATATTTAGTTAAATTTTTAGCTTAAAGTAACGGAGAATGAGCTAGCTACAGCAAATTCCCCACTATTTGAGTAAATAAAATATGAGGTAATTTTTGAGTATTTGGCATTATTTTGAAGGCGAAAAAGTACTTTGTTCATGCAGAACATATAATAATAAGAAATGAAAAATGTTCTCAACATCGTTACCTCATTTATCATTTACTTAAATAAAGTAAACTCTGAAGCGGATCGATCTAGTAGATTTTAAGTAACTTGAAAATTCTAACCAATATTAATTTCGATTCGATTTACTATACACTTAAAATAAATAAATAATGAATAATGTGTGTGTTTCATTATACTTACCACGCAGACGCCCTTACGATCGAACAGACCGGCCGGCATCGACTTGGCGCAGAACACATTTGGATCTTGCTCCATCTCGGGATAGAACGACGAGCAGCTGCGCTGCGTCGTCACCCAGTGCGACAAAAAGCGCAGTCGACGATTCCTCGGGCCGACCTCGTGCAACCTCTGCTCGCCGGTCTCGGGGTCGCGTTCCCTGCGCACGTCGAATGCCCCGTAGCCCGCCACGCGACCGATCGCCCCGGCACCGGGCGCCCGCTCGTTGTCCGCGATTCGAGCCAGTCTCACGCGATTCGTCATGGGGATTTTCAGCTTGAGCACGGCCAGATCGGCCTGGTGATACGAGCCGCCCGACTGCTCGCGTCGCTTGAACGCCTTGGGCACGTAGATGCGCGACACCGAGGAGACGGCCACGTTCGAGCTCTTGGAGTCGAGATCGGCCGCGCCGGCGAACACGCGATAGGGCAGATGGACCACGGAGCCGTCGGCGTTGGTGACGCAGTGCGCGGCGGTGAGGACGTAGCGCAATGCGATGAGGGTGCCGGCGCAGAGATTGCGGCCGTGAGTGTCCTGAATGCTCACGGCGTAGGCGAACTCCTCGTGAGGCGCCTCGTCACCGTTGAGTATCGCCGAGACTGGATCTGCGATTGAGATCGACGAGACGAGATTATGAGTTTTTTTGTACTTATTCATTTATTTATTTATTTTTCTGTTTTTTTTTACTCGTTAGTATGAACAGCTGATGGACGAGAAAGATGGAAAAAATTAACGGCGACATTTGACGACGGATTCCTTCTTCTTCTTCTTCTTTTTCTTTCTTGCGCACACGTATGCTCGTGCCGAGTTCGAGGAAAAAGTGCTGCGAAGCGCGAAACGATATAATATATCGAATACTCGGGCTGTATGACGATCGCTGCGATGATCCACGCGAAGCGACGTTTCAATTGCGCTGGCGCGTGATATTAACATAAAACAAAAAAATTAAAAGGAAAAAAATATTTATCGATCTCTCTCTCGTGCGTGACGGCGTGACGCGCGCACGTTATTGAGCCGTTGATGTACATATTTTTATCGTCGTACGACTTTCCATGTGTTTTAACATTATTATTATTATTATTTCATTGGTCGAAGTGAAACTTTTTTAATTTGATTTGGTATGGAGAGTAGAGGTGTGCAAGTAATTGACTGAAATTTTATTTTTCTATAATGTCAAGACACACTAAATTTCTTTCGTTGAAATGTAGAGTTTTTACAAAAATGTTTGAACTTTTACACTGAGAAAAAAAATTCATTGATTCAATGAAACGTTTAATTGAATACAATCTATGAAATAATTTCATTGAAATAATCTTTTTTTATTTCATCCAACAAAATATTTAAATGTTTTTACCAAAGTTTCATGAAAACAATTAAATATTTTGTTGGATGAATGAATTATTTCATAGATTGTATTCAATTAAACGTTTCATTGAATCAATGGATTTTTTTTCTCAGTGTATGATGATAAAATTCATTGATTTTTGTTACTTGAATAATTTCGACGCTCAAGTATTATCGAAATCTTCTATAACTTTTTTTTCATTAAACATTGGTTAATGAGCAAAGTATCAAGGAATGCCTTGAATATTACAAGCCTTCCTTAGGTCTATTTAACACATAGACTTGACAAACTCATTCGCGTGAATCGCACTTTCACTCTGTGCCACCTAGCGGCGACACGGCTCACAACAATACATACATCGACTATTTTTGTGATATCATGAGTTTGAAGCTAGATTTAATCGTTCAACTTTATAATTGTATCTGCGTGAATTACATTTCTGCTTTTGTGCCACTTTAGCGGGAACACGTCTAATTACCTCGAAATTGAAAAAAGTAATTGTTTTTAGATAACACTAGCATAAAAAGTTTAAAAAGTTAAAAGAGCAATGTAGCTAAAAATCCAATTAGAAATGAAATATTTTTAATTTTATGAAAGTTTCATTTTGAACTACTGTTCTTTAACATTTGCTCATTGGTTTTTTTTTTAAATTCTTAATACGTCGTTATTTTCGCGATTTGGCAAGGTAACATTCGTACACATGAAATTTGTACGAATGATACCTTCCCCGCGATTTTCTTTTTTATATCGACGATCCTTGAATCAAGAACCTGTCTATATTCTTGCAAACTTACAAAGATCTGCTCGAAAGGAATTAACAATAAATGGTAGTTATTTTTATCATATTATTTAAAAACAATGGATAATCAAACACATAAACATTTATTTTTTGCAAAAATTATTTTCTTTTTGTACATCGATTTCGACATCCAGATCTATATCTATCGGTCGAGAGGCCTGGTATCGTAGTAGCGATCGCTCCCCTTGTCGTACTTGTACACGCGATGATGCTCTCCGGCCGAATTTTGGAGCGCGTGACGAATCAGCGAGCGATACGGCTCGACTCGCGTGTACAGCGACGGCGTGTAGAGCTCGTTGCAGTCCTCGGGTCCGTTCGAGTGGATGCCGAGGATCTCGCGATCCCGAATCACCAAGGGACTGCCGTGATCGCCCTGAAGGGAAAGAAACACACAGTCCAGCTGAATCTCCGGATGTAAACTCCGTCGATTATTTTTTTTTTTCAACAGAAAGTCGTCAAGCTCGTGAAAATAAAAAATCCTCCGTCCCGATTTACCATGCACACGCCCTTGGGCACTCGCAGTCCGTAGGGCGGCACCTGGGCGCAGAAGACCGCGTGATCGTGGGCGCCGAGGCCGTAGGTGCGTTGGCAGGTGCGATCGCGCAGGGTCGTCTGGCGCATCGAGCGCAGCTGGGTGTTGGAGTCGCCGCGCCAGTACTCCTCGCCGGTGTCGCGGTCGCGCACCAGCTCGACCCTCGTCGCGCCGTAGCCCGCCACGAGGCCCTGCTGCGGCTGCGGCACGTCCACCGTGGGCGGGCTCTCGTCCACGTACAGGAATCGCGCCGCGTTCGACGCCGGATGCTTCAACTGCATGCGAGGGTGAAAAAATCAGCATTGAAATTAATATTATCTGCTGTATCGATTAAAAAAATTCGCGATTACCCTCAGCAAGGCGATATTAGCCTTGTGATAAGAGCGACCACTGGTCTCTTTGCGCTCGAAATGCTTGGAGATGAAGATTTTGTCGACTCGTCTGGTGACCCCTTGAGGCGAGGTCAGATCGGTCGCACCAGTGAAGACTTGCAGCTTCATGCGCAGAATTTTGCCCTCTCGATCGGTGACGCAGTGAGCCGCTGTGATCGCGATCTGTGGCGTCAGAAGTCCACCCCCGCAAATGTTGTGTCCGCGAAAGTCCTGAACGCTCACCTGGTAATCGGCCACTTCTTGGCCGGCCGGATTGCCATTGAGTATGGCTTGGACCGCATCTGGCGTTAACACAAATTATTCAAGCGAATTATTGATAGTTGTGCGATTTAGAGGAACTATTTCGGGGCTTACTCGATTGAAAAATTGAGAAAAGCAAAAGGGTCGAGAGAAAGAAGCCGGCAAAATTCATCGCGACTGTCGCGAGTGACGATGCAGCGACAGTCGCGCGGAATGCAGAGCTGCGAAAAATCGTGACCGTGATACAACTTCAATATACATCGTAGAGTGCACGAAAAAGTAATTAAAAAAATTTGTCGTACTCAAGGAAAAAAAAAGACGAAGCAAACTTGCGATACTTGTGGAAATATTCATCGATGAGAGATATAGCGATGAAAATAGGCATATAATTTCTGTATTTGATTTGAAAACTATACAAAAATACAATCCTTCCTGCTTTATATGGCATCGGAGCGCGTGTTATGAATCATGATAATCAATCGATTTGAATTGAAATTAATACTTTTGCGATCGATACGGCAATTTTCACTCAACTCATCACGATATTGTAACAGATATACACGATTATAAATAAAATATTACGTAGACGCGATGTTTATACACTAAGTTACGCACAAACAAATAAAAAGTATTACCAGAAAGTTCACAGCAAGTAATTGTTCCATCGATGTCGAGGAGAAACGAACAAAAAATGTATATACACAGCAAATATTCGATTTCGTCAAAACTGGCACACGCGCATATATAGCAGCTCTTTCGCAACGGCAAAGTTTAATCAAATACGTAGCGCCGAATTTTCTAAAAAAGCCGAAAAGCCCACGCCGAAAAAGATTCGCGCCGGTCTAGTTCCACGAGCAACAAAAAAAAAAAAAAAAAAATATAACTCGCCCTGCACCCTGTGCGCACGTCTATGTGTGTATATAATAGATAACGCAACCCTCTAATTTACTCCGGTGCGGACGTTGCGTGCGTATATATACGCGTACAGAGTACACAGGCATGTGCAGCGCTATTCGCTTTTTCTCTACTGTGCCGCGTGTGCGGGGATATACGTATAAAGGGCTCCAGCGGTTGTACACGCACACGTCGAAATTCAATCAAACCGTCGTCGCCGCGTTTACACGTGTGCCAAGAACCCCGAAATTCGCTAAAATATATTTATACCTTTTTTTTCTATCGTGAATTTACATTTTACGTTGCACGCGCGAACGATGGGACGATAGAGAAAAAACAAGAAGGTATGGTGCCGAAATGGAAAAATTATGCCTAGATACATGTATGCGTAAACAATCGAAATCGCTATACGATACAGCGTCGAAAAGGACGATCGTAAAAAAAGTGCCTCGACGCGCATAAATTTAACATAAAAAAAATTCAATCTTTCTTTTTCGCGGGAAGTTACGCCCCCATCGAACCGGAAGTATGTACGTATTATCCTGTAAAGCCTCCTTAGACCAACTTTTACACCCTTCGCTCTTCCTTACACTTGATCTGCGTGTCGATAAATCCAATTTATCCAGGTATATCACTCGCGCGTGCGTTGCAATTTACGAAATCGCCCTGTGTATGTACGGCTCATCTCGTGTGCGAGCCTCAAAGTGTCCACGATGAAAGAGAAGAAGGATCTTGCATTTATTGTTTCATAACGCACAAAATGTACTAATTTATTTTTAAGTAAAAAAATGAATTTCACTTTTTTTGGTCAATTTTACCATTTAATCTCAAGAAAGACAGCAGGGTGATTCTGGGTCATTACATCAAACAATTCTTTATAAATATAACATTTATAACTTTTATACTTTTCTTTTCATGATAATCAAAGTATTACTGCGAGAGGATCCAGCAACTCGACAAAAATTCAAAATGTGTTATATATTTTTTTTACTATTACTTAATTAAAAGACGCATATACTTTATATAATATCTGTTATGATGAGAAAGAATGACTTGAGGCCTCTTTACGGGCTTATATTTAAAAAAATTTTTTATCTACGGTATTTTACTGTAAAAGAGAAAATAATTTATTTCTAAAGAAGGCGAATGAATTTTTACACGACGTAATGGTATGAAAAGAGGTTTTGAAGCACTTTTTTTCGAAACTACTTCTTTCAACTGGTACCAGTGAAAAATCTATAATTATCTTTTTTTGGAAGTTGCTATAAAGCGAGAATACGGGGTAATTCTGTCGACGCAAAAAGTGTCTAAAGTCGCCATAACTTATAACATAACTATAGATAACATAACAACATGGTTCAATACATAACATCTTTTAAATTGGTCCAATATTAGTCATAAATTAATATTAGTCATCTTTTAAATTGGTCCAATATTATTCTCAATCTTTGTTACTTTTCATGAAGATTTCTTGGAAAATGGCATGAAGCCATCTTTTGGTTGATCTGAGTACCATTGAAAGATACATGATGTATGAAAACAATGATCGGAAATGTGGTTTAATGACGTAGATTTGAAAAATTCATTTTATCTTTACACCAACTTTAATTTTACTTGCTAAAAATTTTAAATGTTTAAAGACCTCTATTTAAATGAGATATTTTTTCCAGGTCTCTTTACAACGAATTTCAAACCATCAGTGGTAAGTTTCGATATCTTCATTTGCATGTACAAAAAAAAATCGAAATAAAACTTTTAGAAGAGATTTTTTCAATAAAACAGTCTATTCGCAATCTCCTTAACCTAATATCAAAGCTCAACCATCGGAACATGAAATTCAACCGATTGTATCAATAAAAACCCCATCGGATGCGCTTTGCCCGATTAAAACTCACTCACAGGGTAATTCCCTGCCGAATCGAAAATAAAAATATTTCGACACGCGAACTCTCGAAATAAAGTAAAAAAAAATGCGACTCGCGCTTATACGTTCGAGAAGAAGAAGAAGAAGCTCAAACGAGAGGAAATAAAACGTCGATCTTTAACGCTCAACGATAATTAGGCGGTGCGCGCGCGCGTGTATCGTATGTACCGCTACCTAACGCCGCCGTCTCATTACATCGAGATTCGATTAGATTACGATTGTTATTAATATCGCTTAAATACACGTACATTACGCAATTTAGATTGCCGATCTCTGTAAATATACATACTCTATATAGTCTATACCCGAGCGAAAGAGGAAGAGATCGGGGATGCGTGTGTGTGTCTGTGTACATAGCGCGTATACATTATATACATTATAATATGCACGTGCATTATACACACAGGGCATGTAATCGAAAGATTATCATCTCTTATACAGCCGCTATAAACTGCTTTATATCGCGGACGATTAGGGAAACACACGAAATCATCATCGTCGTCCTGTACACTTGCCAATATGGCAGGCAAAGAGCGAAAATATGCCGTATTTTATACATCGCGCATTATATACGTGTTTATTTATCATTTAAAACGTCTTATATTATATATATATCGGTGAGTGGGCATTAAGCATCGCTGCAAAATTGCCCTTATATAATACGAAGGCGGCGTTATTGGCCGGGGATTTACGCGCATTATAATATATTATATATACACACAGCATCTGGGCACGCGCTTTTTTATGATTTTATTACTCCGTCAAGAAGCTCATTAATAGCGATAAAGAAGACTGAGCGAGAGAGCGACAAAAACAAAAAAAAAAAAATTGAAAGAAGCGATCATCCTCTCTCTCTTCTGGCGGTGCATCTCGGGCGCATTAAAAGTACATTTTCCGCGCGGGAATTAGCTGCTAAAATGACGGATATATATACGCATTTTGCGCCACGATAAAAACGTCGCAATATAAAATCATTAAAACGAAATTTGCAATCTCGTTATATATATACGCTGCTGGCGCGTGGGGATCAACGTTTTCAATAAACATATAAAGCTCGGAACCTTTTTCGCATACTACAGTGTATGTATATATATTTTAACATAGTGAGTGCGAGTTTATAATCTTTATTACGATGGCGTTTAAAAGAATTCGCGTGAAAAATAAAAGTATAAGTTTGTGTGTGTGTGTGTGTGTTTATAATTGTATACGTCGAATTCGAGCACGAAATGACGTGTGTATGCACCCACGTATATAGCACCACAACGTCCTTGTTACGGTCGATTTTTTTTTCTTTTTTTCGCTCGTGGCGCGGCGCGCATCGAATTCGTAATAATCGCCTACAAAATCGGACACGAGCTTTTCCCTCCGCTGCATATACAAAGATGATACATTAATCACTTCTCTCTCTCGTGTACATGCGAGAGAGGTGTGCAAGTGCAGCGCATTCTGCCCGCATACTGCACATACCTGCGCGGCGAGCCTCGAAATAAAAAAAAAATGAAAATAAAAAAAAAGGAGGAGGAAGAAGAAGCGAAACGCCTACCGATACACACGAGCTTGTATATACTAGTATATAGCAGCAACAACAACGACTATAACGCACACGTACACAACGCGGGCAACTGAAAAAAAAGCTCAAAACTTTCGACTGCTACATGGCCTGTGCCGTTGCCGCTGCTCGCCATACGCACTCTATGTACTCTAGTACACAAAACAGGCTGTTTATTCCAAGTACTCGCGGCGGCGGTGGCGGTATAGGTACGTATACATATCGTATACGGTCCCATTACTCCACGAGAGAGGCCTGGCGTCCGTACACATATGCGTATGCGCGCGTGCAGCTATATATACGTATTTATAATATACCCTCTCCGAGAGCCCATAATGCTCTATCTATCGTTTGGAGCTGTGCAACGAGCTGCTCTCTACGCGCGCGGGCATGCCCATTAAAATACAATGGCCCTGCTGTGCGTATCTTCTCTCTCTCTCGCTCGCTCGCTGTACGTGTAACTCTCTCGCGAGCTATTTCTCCTATGCGCCGGCTTCTCTCTCTCTCTCTCCTTTTTTTTTACTACTTTTTTCGTGTACTTTGGTGCTGCTGCTGCTGCTGCTATGATATGCACTGAACGCGCACTTCTGTGTGTGAGTGTACATATAGAGCCTCGACAATCTAAATATGCCTCGTGCTGCTGCTGGTTGTGCACCCGCTGCGAATAATGCCTTTATTTACCACGTGTGTGTGTGTAAGTGGTGGTCGTGGTGGTCACATGCTTGCAGCGCGTTAAAAAATATATCGTTAGTATTTATGTTCTTCATTGCCCCGGATATTTTTCTTGTTTTTAAATCCTCGACCGTATGGTCGCGGATTTCGTTTTATATCTGCATGTTCGAGAGGCTGTCTTCGACGCCGTCGTTGGGAAAATTCTTGTTTCAACGAAAATCCAATGGCGCACGATATCGTGAAAGAGATATTTTACGAAAGTTTGATGATAGAATTGATTATTTAACCATATTATGGTGCTTGTTAGATTGATTTTACTAGATGATTGAAAAAAAAAGTAACACCATCCTTTCTTTTTTGTCAAAAGTTTATTGATTACAAATTTTAGGAGTTGTTCTTTCACCAAGAAATTACGTCATTAGAGGTAAATTTATATTATAAAAAGTAAATTTCATACATTTATTGAGTTATATGTGCGCGGGTGTCATCATTGTGCTTACTATCGATGTGCCTCTTTAGATTACTCTTCTTGCTCAACTTCTTTCCGCAAATATCACATGTGAACGTGATTTTACGATGCACCGAATCGATATGTCTTTTGAGATAACTCTTGTCTGCGAACATCTTTTGGCAAACATCGCATGCATGTCTGACACCATTATGCACCGAATCGGTGTGGACTTTGAGATGGCTCTTTTGTGAGAATGTCTTTTGGCATTTATTACATGCATGCTTTATTTTATGATGCATCGAATCGATGTGCTTTTTGAGATCGCCTTTATGTTTAAAAACATTTCCGCAAATATTACATTCGTGACTGACACCATTATGCATCGAATCGATGTGCCTATTGAGATCACCTCTTCGTTTGAATACATTTCCGCAAATGTCACACGCATATGTGACACTATTATGCACCGCATCGATGTGTTTTTTGAGACTACTCTTGTCAGAGAATGTCTTTTGGCATGTATCACATGGATGCGTGATTTTATAATGCATCGATTTGAGGTGTCTGTGGAGATTACATTTTTGAGTGAATGTCTTTCCACAAAAATCACATGCATGTGAAATACCATTATGCACCGATTCGATGTGGTTTTTAAGATGACCTTTTTGAGTGAATGTCTTTTCACAAACATCACATGCATAGGAAACACCATTATGCACCGACTCTATGTGATTTTTGATACTACTCTTCAGTAAGAATGTCTTTTGGCATATATCGCACGTGTGCCTTATTTTACGATGCACCGACTCGATGTGGACCTTTAAATGACTCTTTTGTCGGAATGATTTTCCACAAGTATCACATCCATGGGTGATTCCACTGTGCACCGAATCGACGTGAATTTTTAGATATCCTTTTGTAGAGAATAACTTTTGACAATCGTCACACTGGTAACGCTTAAAATTATTGTGGGCTCTATTCATGTGCATTTTGAGATAACTCTTTTGTCCGAATGACTTTCCACAAACATGACATGGATAAGTTATTTTACCGTGCACAGCATTAATGTGGTTTTTGAGAACATTTTTGTAGGCGAATGACACTTGACATTTATCACATTTGTAAGGCTTCAATTTATTATGTACTGAATTGACGTGGGCTTTGAGATATATCTTTCGCTTGAAAGTCTTTCCACAAATATGACATGGGTGAGTGATATCATCATGAATACTATTTGTGTGGACTTCGAGATGTCTTTTTCGCATGAATGTCTTTTTGCGCTTATCGCAAGCTGGAGCAATACTATTATTCGCCAAATCAATATTTGTTCTGAGTCTAATTCCATGATTGAGCTCTTTGATATTTTTATGTCTCTGTCCGAGCTCGCCCTTGACACTTGCATTGAAATCTTCCGAATCGTCATTAACTAATTCTTCTTTCACGTCTACCGGAGTTTCTATTTTAATCGTGTCTTGCGAGTATCGTTGAGAATAATCGTCAATTTTCCTGATCGCTGATGAATTTACGTCTATCTTCACGTCCTGACATTCAAATTCTTCGTGTAGGTCGTCGTCAAGTCCGTAATCATGGTTTTGTTCAAACTTTTGAATCTCATTGATCTGCAATAAATGAAAGTCACACTAAAATTTTTGTAAAATAAAAATTTACCATGTAAGTTTATCAACACTCACAGAATTTTCCCGCGGAACACTCGAGTATTGGAAATTTTTGCTTTCGGATGTCTCGTTCGTTATGTTGTAATCATCATACTCCATGAGCGACTCATCCGTTATTTCCTCTTTAATTCTAAAATAACACCGTTAAAATTGAGAATTATGAAATAAAATTGTTGTACTTTTAATACTAAGAAAAAAAAAAATTACCTAACGGTTGGATTGAATACATTGTTCGATTCCATCTTACTCGTAGGAAATTTCATTTACGACTCACTGTTTCAATACAAATTGTACTAGTCAAGGTAACTTGAACTTGATTCAATAATATTTACTAATCGTGGTGTGAAAATAAGAACGAGTTAATACGAAATATGACACGCCTAGTATGTATAGTAGAAATTTCACACGACAATTTAAATTTATTGATCATGTACACGCTAATTGGCCTTTTAGAACTTTGCTGTTAGAATCATGTTAAAAATTTGACGATGATTGCAAATGATCTTAAAATGAAGATTTAATTGCTAAAATTTAGATAAGTTTTCAATCACTTTAAATACGATGAGAGTATCTGCCACTAGATGGCTAGATCTTTTACATGTTACTTTGCAAGCGGTAAAATAAAAGTAATTGTATATCTGACACAGACAAGTTTCATTGAATGAATTCGGATTCAATTGAATCTGCAAGCAGTAAAATGAAAATAATTGTATAAGTCGGAGCATAGAATTTAACACATACGTTTGGTTGAAACCAAATTAGTTTCATGGCTTCTCCGCCGTCGTTGACAACGAATGAGACGTTGCAAGACTGATTTCTCAGAACGAGTTTTTAAGTTTGGTTAATTATGTATTCACCGTTAGATGGCGAGAACATTTATAAGTGAATCTGCAAGTGGCAAAGTAAAAATAAGTGTATAAATCAAAGCATGGTTTTTCCTTTTTGTGAATTCGTATGTTCTTAAGCAACAAAAAAAGTTGAATTCAATTATTTCAATGGCTATCGATTGAAGATATGAATTTCATATTGTCAAAAAGTTTAAATAGCAAAACAGACACAGAGAATCCTCATTATATTATCGTAAATAAAGTAAACGATCGTTATGCAATTTTTCTGCAGTACTCTTGAAAGTGTACTATTATGGCACTGTGGGGCTTCGAGTTTACATTCATGACACACTTTCCGGTGGCACAAGTCGTTTTTTACGGCACTGTCGTCTTCGACGGCCATCGCCACTAGTCTCGCTGCTCGCATACGCTACTGATGAGCGTTTTATATAAGACCTTCTTGATTTGCTCGCATACGCTCCAGAGAGTGCGAATTATGCATCGGAAAATGGGTCATAAATGTGAACTTACTCCCCGTAGCCGTGTGTGATACAAGTTCCATGGGTTACTTATAGCACTTGTATCGTAAATTACTATTATGATTTCTGAAAAAAAAGGAAATTAAATAAGGCTTTAAGTCTATTATTTCTTCAATGCATATTTATTTTAGTGATATCGAGAGTGACATTTTATAACAATCAGACATCAAGAAAAACCATACAAACATAATTATCACTAAACAAAAATGATATTAAGTAAAATCGTACATTGAGAATATACCGTTCGCGATCATCTTTTTGAAATTTTTTTAGTTCTAACAGATCTTTTGTCTTTTGTTATTACAATTTTCCACTTATAATATTTCTTTTTACACTCGGAGACAATGGATCTTATTCTCGGTGTACCAAACCGCTCCATCACACGTACAGAACTTTCACTTTGTGCTCTGCTCCGTAACACGTGTGCTACTGGTGTTTCGTGGTCTCAGTTCAGTACGAGTTACGACGCCGTATAAGCAGCACAAAAAAGATCTCGACTAGAACAGTCGGCACCGGCAAGTGATTAATAAGTAATTAAAAGTATTCGTGCGCCAAAGTAGAACAAAGCCATCATGGACCAGTTGAACAACAACAACGTCATCAACAAGAAGCTGGACTTGACGCTGCCAGAACTCGAGGAATTTTTCCGGGCCAACATCAATTCCGAGAAAAATGAGTCGAGGGACTGTCAATTCACGTCGTTGATCGAGATAATGACCCTCATGAACTACAAAGACAAGCCGGAAGTCGACCAAGAGGGTAAGCCGATACTGCGGCGTACCACAGCGGTGCATTTCGTGGCCAGGCGCGATCTACCCCTGGAGAGCCCCAAGATCCGGACCCTCTTTCGAGTGTACGACAGATTCGAGGCGAATTACGTCGACGAGACGGGCTTGAGCCACTTCCACGTGGCCTGCCGATATGGCTTCCACGACGTGGTCGAGCGATTCATCGAGGCCGGACAGAGTCCGGATTTTCGACCGTTACAAACGATAGACCCACCGCTGCACTTGGCTCTGCACCACGGCCACTGGAAGACGGCCGAATTGCTCCTGAGTCGAGGTCACGCCGATCCAACTGCGACAAGCAGAGACGGACTGACGGCCTTGCACGTGCTAAGTCAGAATCCGGACTGCGATACGGGCTTGGCGCAGACGTTGCTCCAGGGCGGCGTCGAAGTGCGAGTCGACGCTTGGGACAAGTTCGGCAACACACCGCTGCACCTGGCCCTGCACTGGGGCAACGCCAAGATGGTCGAGCTGCTGTTGAGGCGCGGCTCCAATCCGAACTTCGTCAACAACGCCGGGATGGCTCCGCTGCACGTCGTCTCGAGGCGGGACCGCGACGGCCACCTGGTGGAGCTGTTCTTCGGCGTCGCGGACGAGATGTATCTGTCGGTGAAGGTCGACGTCCGGGACAATAAAGGCAACACACCTCTGCACTACGCCCTGGAACGGGGACTCAAGAGGGTCGTCGATCTGCTGCTGAGGCGGGGGGCCGACCCGAATTTGGCCTGCGCCGACGGTGGCAATTGCCTGCACATCCTCTGCAGGCAAAAGTGCGACAGAGAGCTGATCGAGGCGTTTTTCCGAGTCGTCAACGAGAGACTCCAGCTGATGGAGGTCAACGCCCGGGACAAGCGCGGCGATACCCCCCTGCACTTGGCTCTGCGACGCAACGACAAAACCATGGCCGAGATGCTGCTGAGGAGCGGCGCCGACTCGCTTCTGGCCAACAACGAGGGAGACACACCCCTGCTCATGATGAGTCGAAATCTCGACGAGTACCGCGACCTGCTGGATATACTGAGTGGTCTCACATTTAATCAACCTGAAACGGTACAGGTCGAGGTCATTGGCAGTTCGGCCCCGACGGTTACCTACTCCATCGTCTGAGGAATTCATTCGTCTACGTATTATTTGAACAAAGAGATACGCAATGAATGGCCGGTAAAATTGTTCTTGAAAATTTTAACAAGATTCATTTTGATCATTTTTTATTGATAAGCACATACGATCGTTTGTAATATCAGATCTTAAAATGTACACTCATTCTTACGCCACCTTATATACGTTATCGAACGTAAATGTAAAAAAAAGTTATGCTATAGCCAATTGTAAATGTTTAAATAATGTAAGGAAAAAACGATTATTGATAATTATCAACTCACTCATTAATTTTTTAATAAACCAACGTTAAATGAAAAAATTTCAAACTTATTGTCTTTATTTTAAAAATATATGGGCTATTCCACAACTGGTGTTGTAGGCTCAAAAAATGAAGTTGTAACTAACCATTTACTCTTCAAGAACACAATGAAAAATGAAAATCATGAACACTACAGCCCCTAGGTCCAACCCTCATTGATCTACAGGGGCTCAAAGTTGGATTTTCATGTTTTGAGGATATTCTGCTTGTTACTCTGCTTTTTTGGGATGCATATGAAAAAATTTTTAAACCATGTATTTTCATGTAAAATTTGATGTAGAATTCAAATCTGTACTCAGATGAGACATTCATAAGCTCAAAACCCCTTAAAATTGAAAAAATAGAGCAAAAGACCGTCAAAGTCAAAAAAAAATTTGTTCGTATACCTCAAATCAGAACATATTACAATATGGGCTGAACGGATGTTCATCGATACACCAAAATACAACTTCTGATAAAGTTTGGTAACTGAGTCTCCAGTACGGACAATTTGGTAGCTAGAGAAGAGGCAAAAAACATGGAAAATGAGGAAAAAACCAGATCTTCTTTCTCTTTTTTTTACTACTTTTTTCGTGTACTTTGGTGGTGTTGCTGCTGCTATGATATGCACCGAGCGCACACTTCTGTGTTTTTTTTTCTACTCCACCCCATTCGGACACTCACCGTTATCCGCCGTCAGGCATTGCTTCGGTGAGGCCGGGGTTGGTTGAGCATTTCTGCTACTTCTGTTAGTCGTTGTTTTTCCTTACATCCCCCATCCGTTGCATAGTGATATGCGACGATTAGGGGTTCAGGGACTCATCTTTATCTTCTTGGTTAACCTCCGATCCTGCACGCTGCCATCGTCGATTGTCGTATCCCCTTTTTCAGAGCCGTCTGCGTGGGCTCACATTGCTGGCATCTCCCTCTGAGTAGGACATCTTCTTTAGAACTCGCTGTCTAGTGCCATCTTGTGAGTGTGGTTCTCGCTTCAGGCGCCATCTGTGCTCCAGCAGAGCCTTGGCTCTCACATCCGGCGCCCTCTTGTGAGTGTGGTTCTCGCTCCCGACTTCATCATGGGAGTGGTGTGCTCCATCTGTTGCCAGCCTTGTGAGTCCTCGCCTCGGGCTCCTACTTATGGTTATCCTATCGCTTCCAGCTCGCAGAGTAATCGGGGTTTTTTTACCGCTTCGGAGGCTGATGACATAGCCCGGGTCTTCTTTTTGAGTGGTACCCGCTCCACCTCGGGCACGGGCTCGACCACAGCGGGCGAAAAAACGAACCTCGAAAATTCGCCAAGTGGGGATCGAATCCACGCCCTATAGGGTGTACCGTATACGGCACACCTTGTATCAGCAGGCAAGAACTATACCCACTGAGCCGAGGAGGCCGATGCAAACTTCTGTGTGTGTGTGTGTGTGTGTGTGTGTGTGTGTGTGTGTGTGTGTGTGTGTGTGTGTGTGTGTGTGTGTTTGTGTAAGTGGTGGTCGTGGTGGTCACATGCTTGCAGCGCGTTAAAAAATATATCGTTAGTATTTATGTTCTTCATTGCCCCGGATGTTTTTCTTGTTTTTGAATCCTTGACCGTATGGTCGCGGATTTCGTTTTATATCTGCATGTGCTGTCTTCGACGCCGTCGTTGGGAAAATTCTTGTTTCAACGAAAATCCAATGGCGCACGGTATCGTGAAAGAGATATTTTACGAAAGTTTGATGATAGAATTGATTATTAAACCATATTATGGCGATTGTTAGATAGATTTTACTAGATGATTGAAAAAAAAGTAACACCATCCTTTCTTTTTTGTCAAAAGTTTATTGATTACAAATTTTAGGAGTTGTTCTTTCGCGAAGAAATTACGTCATTAGAGGTAAATTTATATTATTAAAAGTAAATTTCATACATTTATTGAGTTGAATGTGCGCGAGTGTCATCATTGTGCTTACTATCGATATGTATTTTGAGAGTACTCTTGTGTGAGTATGTCTTCCGGCATTTATCACAAGCATGCGTGATTTTACGATGCGCCGAATCGACATGTCTTTTGAGATTTCTCTTGTCTGAATATGTTTTTTGACATACATCACATGCATGTGGAATACCATTATGCACCGATTCGGTGTGAATTTTGAGATAACCTTTTTGTGAGAATATCTTTCCACAAATGTCACATACATGTCCGACTCGCTTGTGCACCGAATCGATGTGTTTTTTTAAATAACCCTTATCTGTGAATGTCTTTTGGCATTTATCACATGGATGCGTGATTTTATTATGCACCGAATCGGTGTGGACTTTGAGATGGCTCTTTTGTGCGAATGTCTTTTGGCATATACCACACGCGTGTCCGACTTGATTATGTACGGCATCGGTATGCCTTTTGAGAATTTGCTTTTGTTTAAACATCTTTCCACAAATATCACATACATGCCTGGCACCATTATGCACCGAATCGGTGTGGACTTTGAGATAACTCTTTTGTGCGAATGTCTTTTGGCATATATCGCATGCATGTCTGACTTCATTATGCACCGAATCGACGTGAATTTTTAGTTGTGCTTTTGTAGTGAATAACTTTTGACAATCGTCACACTGGTAACGCTTAAAATTATTGTGGGCTATATTCATGTGGATTTTGAGATAACTCTTTTGTGCGAATGTCTTTTGGCATATATCGCATGCATGTCTAACTTCATTATGCACCGAATCGACGTGAATTTTTAGTTGTGCTTTTGTAGTGAATAACTTTTGACAATCGTCACACTGGTAACGCTTAAAATTATTGTGGGCTATATTCATGTGGATTTTGAGATAACTCTTTCGTCCAAATGATTTTCCACAAATATGACATGGATAAGTTATTTTACTGTGCACAGCATTAATGTGGTTTTTGAGAACATTTTTGTATGCGAATGACACTTGACATTTATCACATTTGTAAGGTTTCAATTTATTATGTACTGAATTGACGTGGACTTTGAGACGTATCTTTCGCTTGAAAGTCTTTCCACAAATATGACATGGGTGAGTGATATCATCATGAACACCATTTGTGTGGACTTCGAGATTTCTTTTTCGCATGAATGTCTTTTCGCGCTTACCGCAAGCTCGAGCAATACTATGATTCGCCAAATCAATATTTGTTCTGAGTTTATTTCCATGATTGAACTCTTTGGTATTTTTATGTCTCTGTCCGAGCTCGCCCTCAACACTTGCATTGAAATCTTCCGAATTGTCACCAACTAATTCTTCTTTCACGACTCCTGCAGTTTCTATTTTAATCGTGTCTGGCGAGTATCGTTGAGAATTATCGTCAATTTTCCTAATCGCTGATGAATTGACGTCTATCTTCACGTCCTGACATTCAAATTCTTCGTGCAGGTCGTCGTCGAGTTCGTAATCATGGTTTTGTTCAAACTTTTGAATCTCATTGATCTGCAATAAATGAAAGTCACACTAAAATTTTTGTAAAATAAAAATTTACCATGTAGGTTTCTCAACACTCACAGAATTTTCCCGCGGAACACTCGAGTATTGGAAATTTTTGCTTTCGGATGTCTCGTTCGTTATGTTGTAATCATCATACTCTATGAGCGACTCATCCGTTATTTCCTCTTTAATTCTAAAATAACACCGTTGAAATTGAAAATTATACAATTATACAAAAAAAAAAAAAAAAAAAAAATNTATACAATTATAAAAAAAAAAAAAAAAAAAAAAAATTACCTAACGGTTGGATCGAAAACATTGTTCGATTCCATCTTACTCGTTGGAAATTTCACTTACGACTCACTGTTTCAATACAAACTGTACAAGTCAAAGTAACTTGAACTTGATTCAATAATATTTACTAATCGCGGTGTGAAAATTATAACGAGTTGATACGAAATATGACATGCCTAGTATGTATAGTAGAAATTTCACACGACAATTTAAATTTATTGATCATGTACACGCTAATTGGCTTTTTGGAATTTCGCTTTTAGAATCATGTTAAAAATATGATGATAATTGCAAATGATCTTAAAATGAAGATTTAATTGCTAAAATTTAGATAAGTTTTCAATCACTTTAAATACGATAAGAGTATCTGCCACTAGATGGCGAGATCTTTTATATGTTACTTTACGGAAAAATTTCAAACGTATTCTCTTCATTTCAAGAATATATTCGTGGTCAAATATTTAAATGATTATATAATAAATAATTATAATATTTAAAATTGATAATTAATTAATAATAAATTAACAATTGTTAATAATTATGAAAAATAAATTTTTTTTCGTTTCTTCGGAAGGTTTCAAGCAAAAACTTACCATTGATATTTTTTAGTCCAATGCATGTCCAATGCAATGTTAAACGTATTAATAATAGGCAAGAAGCTCGTATAATCGATGAACGCATTAATTGGTTTTTCTTTTGCCACAGCTACTTATAATTATGATTTATGATAATCATTCAACAATGATAACATTTGTTATTCATTAATATTATTTAATTTTTTATTTTATTATAACAAGAGGTTGGTTTTGTTCGAGCTTAGCGAGGTTGAAAAGACTCCTGGATCTACCTCACATTTCATTGTACACGGATAGACCACGACTGAGCGAGGCGCTGTGCCCTCGAATAAGAAGCTGTGCCACTTGCACGGATTTTTTCCGTGCTAAAACACTGGAAGAATCACGGAGGGACTGCCATCCCCAAATTCAATGGTCTAACTTTCGACAGGCCAATCGCGCAGAGACGATGTTTGATTTCCCTTCCTTCGTTAACAAATTGTCCGATCATGCTTGTGATTAATACAGGCCAAGGTCTAGTGACCCTCTCATGTCCCATAAAATTGTTTTGTTAGCCAAAAATCAGACTAGCGATTATTTTGAATTTAAAATCCATATAATGACATAGAAGCGAAAAAAAAATACGTACGTACGAGCAGCGAGCGCATCTCGTATGTACGGAGGCATCATGGTGC